TTGACACACAGGCGTCCTGACAAACCGTTACACCGCGCCCACCTGTCAATCAGGTCAGCTACACGCCTTATTGTGAATAACTCTTATCCTTCATCAAATCAAAACTGATGAGTCATCAAAACATTCACCCCCGTACAGTGTGTGTCCATCCAGACATGAGCTAATCACACCTATTTGGTTTTTGAACCAGGCTGTAAACATGTTCATCTCTGCTGTAAAAACAGGCTGTTTAGAATGGGTGTGTATGTGACTTCCTGTGCTTCTGCAGCCAGCCTCTAGTGGACACTCCAGGAACTGCAGGATTTTACACTTCAGCATCAACATTATGTGTAAACACTGGAGGTTTCTGCTTGGTGTAAACATGTTCTGCTCCCACAAGGTTTACTTTCTTTCTTCTTCGTCAGCAGTAACCTAAATGTTTGATTATTCTTTATAATCAATTTAAGACCACAGGTAGAAAACATCTGAATTGTACTAAGGGTCCACCACAGGTAGACACATCCTCACCTGTGACCTCCATGACTAACACTGTGTCTGTCTGTAAGGTGTTTCTTCAGGTTGATTGACAGCTAAGTGGCCCTATGATGGAAGAGCTTCACGACGTCCAGCTGACTGAGATCAAACCACTCCTAACTGGACAGGTGAGTGGGCGGGGCTTAGTTTATTCCCAGGATTTATCACAATATGTTGATCCTTCAGGCAATCTAAAGTCCACGTTTCTATCAGTGACTGAGAGATGTAGCTGCCTGAACAACATCTTTGAACAGCTGTGTCCTCTGAATGAAAGTTAAAATCAGATTCACATCCTGGATACTTTTCATTTGATCACACCCCTGAATCTGTGTTCTCTTCTTCAGAATGGGAGGAATCTGCAGGACTTTGACTGTCAGGTGAGTTCAGCACAAACAGATGAGATGTGTGTGAATGAGCTTCTTTACATGTGAATGTCTGTCAGAGTGTGAGTGTGAGTCATAGTGTCAGTACTTTACCTTTCTTCTGAAAAGTTTACTACAGTAAATCATGTCATGTTGTTGATGAGATATGATCCAGGGTTTTTCCTGCATAGAGAACTCTTTGGCGCCCCCCAAAGAGGTTTTACCCAGCACCAAAGGAAAATCACCAGCGCCAAAAAAAACCAAGATGATTTAAATTGCAAATCAAATCCTCTCCGAATGAATATGTTAAAAATATCAAAACATCAAACGAGTGTTGAACAAGCAGAACATAAACTTAAAAACGACGTCTGTGACTTCTAGCAGTCATCTCCCCTCTCATCCGTTTACACAGCAGGTCGTGCTGATAGCCAGCTGATGCACTGTGTCTTCGTTTGACTGCTTCATGACGCTCCGCTGACAGCGGGGAAATATTTATCCAACAGTCATGTTAAAAATATACTACGGGTCATCGCAGCACGCTGAGACAGACACACACACACACACACACACACACACACACACACACACACACACACACACACACACACACACACACACACACACACACACACACACACACACACACACACACACACACACCTGTTTACTTGTAGTGCAACGGAACGCGGTTGATCCATGATCTGCATGTACCGAGTCGGGAACGCACGTGATCTCGTCAAACAGTCGGTTCCACTTGTCTCCGTTCACTCTCACCGTGTCTGATTTTATCAACAATCAATAAGTTCACGACCGTAACGTCAGCCAGCTGTAGTCTGTGAACTTCTCCACACACACTGTCAAACAGCAAATAGATTTTTATTATTTCTCAAGTTCCTGATCTGATCAAATGATTCAAATGATCTGTGACTGAAATCTGTGATTATCTGACATAATACCTTAACTCAAATAAATGTATGTAAACAAATGTAAAACTAAAACCCAATTTAAAGGTGAAGAGCAGCCATCATACTGAACTGAACTCTACCCCCCGAACTCTGAACTCTGTCTCTCTCTCTCTCTCCCTCTCTCTCTCCGCACCCTGCTGACCCCCCCTTCCCCTCCATATCACCTCACACCCATCATCCCCCCACCTCTCCTCCTGGTCACACACACACATCTCTCATCCATCTGTATTATTGTATTATAGTATGTTCATATTATGTCCATATTCTTTATATTATCTGTAAACGAGTATAGCATGCTCACTGCATCTCCCATGTTTCACTGTTGCAATAAAAAACGATTCTTTACCAGATTGAATTGTGGTTTCAGTAACTTAAGAATAATGATGATGTTCTTTACAAAATGGTCAGAAATAAAAGTAAATGCACAGATTTCTGTCATATAAGGTAAAACAGACTCATAGACTAATATGCGGGTTGAACGTTTACTACAGCGCGTATAGTCCCCCCCCCCCCCCCCCAAAGGCCCATTCTGAGCCAGGACAAACCCTGTGATCCCTTCTCTTCTTCTGTTGTTGTAATATTTGAATATGGTGAACAGCAGAGAGAGCTGTGTCTCTTAAAGCAGAGTCTCAGGTGACGTCATTAGGTGAGGTGAGGTGTGATTACCTGAGGGCTGAGACAGCTTGGATTCAAAGGGGGAGGGGGGGGGTGAAAGAAGCAGTCTAGGCTGCATGTGGAGCAGGTTGTTTAAACCTTAAGAGCTCAGGGCTGTGAGCCAATCAAAGAACAGATTACTCCTCCTGATCTCATCATCATAACACCCCCTCTGACCTCTGACCTCTATCTCCTCATATCCTTCTCTATGCACCAGATCTCCTGGGCCCTTTCTGAATATCCACAGTTCAGTAGTCAGTACTTTTCAGTATACTGAACCCTTGTGGTCATTCAGTGGTCATTTTTTGGGTCCACCTCAGTATACTGAACATTTCAGTATGGATACTAACTTCCTGGTTTCATGCAGTATGGATCGGATGAATCCTTTCAGGAAATGAATTGTATTTTAACTCCCACAATGCAGTGCAAAATTAAACGTAAATCGTCACGTGCGCCTCCAAATCAAAACAAACGAGCGTGGATTAATTTAATCAATTTTTAATCTACAGTTAAAGTCCCGACTGAAATCACTACTTTAAATTAACAACAGAAAATATAACAAATATCTGCATTATTATAAAACCTTTCCCCCTCTATTTAAATAATGATGTCACTATTTAAATAATGATTTCACTATTTAAATAGTGATTTAACTATTTAAATAATGATGTCACTATTTAAATAATGATGTCACTATTTAAATAATGATTTAACTATTTAAATAATGATGTCACTATTGGATATATATAATGATGCGCACTATGGAGAGGAGCGCACCACAGGGGGCGAGCTGGGGGAGAGACGAGAGACCTGAGGAAAAGGAAATCCCCAGTTTAAAATATAATGTTGGTGAGAAGAGGGAAATAGGAAGACATAAATGTCAATGGTGAAATTCTTTTGAATACAGAGGCTGTGAATGTTCAGTTATCTTTGGCTATAAAAAGGCAACAACAGCCTGTAGTTTAATCCTGGTGTTTCTCTTTGTTAACGATTATTGAAGCAAAATAAAAAATAAATGCATGACATTTAAAACATATTAACACGATCTTTATGTCTTCTTTTGTTGTGCCTCTGTCTCCTCCTAACTACAATAACAGCAGCATGTTGTGTGTAACACTGGTCTCCTGCATTAACACCTTCTTTTCAAAGGTGATAAATACAGACACAGTCACAATCACCTCAATGTTTGTCAATTTTTAGTACAAATTCTCAATGAGCGTCATAAATTTACAATACGATCAACTTGTGACTGTTGAATTGGTCGTGTGTGGAAGACAATGCAGAATATTCATCATGTTTAAGCAGCATGATGCTCGGTTAATATCACATCACACCATCGCAGGTTGTTGATGTTTGCGTTCACGTTTCAGTTAGTCTCTTAAATCAGTAACAGTTATATTAAATCACATCTTACCTTTAGTTTTATCTGGATCTTAAATCAGTAACAGTTATATTAAATCACATCTTACCTTTAGTTTTATCTGGATCTTAAATCAGTAACAGTTATATTAAATCACATCTTACCTTTAGTTTTATCTGGATCTTAAATCAGTAACAGTTATATTAAATCACATCTTACCTTTAGTTTTATCTGGATCTTAAATCAGTAACAGTTATATTAAATCACATCTTACCTTTAGTTTTATCTGGATCTTAAATCAGTAACAGTTATATTAAATCACATCTTACCTTTAGTTTTATCTGGATCTTAAATCAGTAACAGTTATATTAAATCACATCTTACCTTTAGTTTTATCTGGATCTTAAATCAGTAACAGTTATATTAAATCACATCTTACCTTTAGTTTTATCTGGATCTTAAATCAGTAACAGTTATATTAAATCACATCTTACCTTTAGTTTTATCTGGATACATAGAGAAATATTCTCCCCTCGTATATAGTCCTATGAATTTCAGCCTGCACGGTGAAAGTAAAACCTGTTCCTCTCGGTATAGTCCACTTATCACTCAGACTGTAAACATGTTCACATTAGTAATGATGCAGGCCAGATTACAATTATGTGACTTTGTTTTTGCCCTCGATACTTTTTTAAGACTTTACCAGACGTTTTTATTTTTGCTGTAAAATAACTGTACAGTCAATGAACCACATCTGTGAGCGGATTTTATATTACGATTCTTGGTTTTAAATACAGTTTCAATCACAATAACGATATAACAATATGAAGAAACATAGCATGTCAGTTATTAGGTTTGCTCATTTAATAAAATAAAATAAAAAGATAAATCATGCCGGATAAGTAACCTAGCTTTACAACATTTCAGCTAACTTAGACTGCTTATGTGTTAGCTAGCTAGATAACGACTTTAACCAATGACACATAAATCACTTTTTTACTTACCGAAAGAACTGCAAAGATCCGTTATCTCCCACAGCAGTCGGTTAGAACAGTTACTGCAGAACAACTCATTTTCCAGCTCAAAAAAAAGAAAAAACTGAACGGAAAAAATTCAATGGCGTCTCGGCTTTCCTTCACTACGTAACTTTGTTATTCAAAGAAACTACGCAAGATCGGCGGCTGTCAATCATCGTCAAATATGACGTAAATCCCGTTTTTCAACCTCAAATAACTTATTTAAAACAAACTTCACAGAAAAATGAGCACTTGAACACAATGTAGGGTGATAATAACTCATGATCACAGCAGAGTTTAGGTTTGGAAAAAATGATGTGACGAGTATTTTAGCTTTACAGTTTGACCCACATCCCATCTGTTATCATTGAGGAGGCCGGGCTTATGACCTATACTGCAGCTAGTCACAGGGGGAGCTCTAACAATAAAAGCTTCACTAGAGCGGGGACCTTGTCCCGTCCATTATTTTTACAGTCTATGGTTTAAATATGTGTTCCTCCTGGTTCACCAACAGTTAGTGCATCATCTTACATTCTGCTTACAGCTCATTACAGTTCACCTAGTATGCAATGAGCTTTACCTCCACAAATAGTCTCTTATGTGTTTCCTTTGTTTGCTCATTAATGACATTACTATCTTTACAGCCTCTTAGAAGCCAAACATCTGTGTCTTCATGTTTCTCCCTTCAAACAAACACATGCATGTTCTACTACACTCTCCCACATTCTGCTTTCTTAACACGAGCTCCAGATGGATCCTGGGCTAAAATTAGGATGTGCTGCGTTCATGTGCTCAGTGTTAAAAACTGTTCTTCTCGTGCACGTTCATCTGCTTGTTGTTAGATAAATCAAAAGTCTCTGCTTGGGGGGGGTTAGGGTTCCTAATGAACGTGATGGTCAGTCTTTCAGTGAGCACTTTCTGTTGTGTGTTCAACTTACTAACACCTTCAAAGGAAGAATGATCGACATGTTCCACATAAATAAATCATAAAGTCTGTCCTGTGTAAATGTGTCTCTGAGTCCTGACTGTCTACAATGAGGGAGAAGCTCGAGTCCCGCCTGTGTTGTTGTCAGAGCGTTTACATGGACGGACGGCCGGCTCCTCCCCTTGTGTATAAAAGCGTTTAGTCAAGAACTAGAGAGAAGAAGAAGAACATACTCACTGATTATTTGGATGTTAGTAAGAGTTTTTAGATCACGCTCATTCTGTGTCAGTTACTGAAATGTGAAGTACGAGCTAACTAAAGACGCTACATTAGCATGCTAACACAACAATGTGAAGCTACAGCTGACTAAAGAGCGCTAACATTAGCATGCTAACACAACAATGTGAGCTACGAGCTGACTAAAGAGCGCTAACATTAGCATGCTAACACAACAATGTGAAGCTACGAGCTAACTACAGAGCACTAACATTAGCATGCTAACACAACAATGTGAAGCTACGAGCTAACTAAAGAGCGCTAACATTAGCATGCTAACACAACAATGTGAAGCTACGAGCTGACTAAAGAGCGCTAACCATTAGCATGCTAACACAACAATGTGGAGCTACGAGCTAACTAAAGAGCGCTAACATTAGCATGCTACACAACAAGTGAAGCTACGACTGACTAAAAGAGCGCTAAACTAGATTGCTAACACAACAATGTGGAAGCTACGAGCTAACTAAAGAGCGCTACATTAGCATGCTAACACAACAATTGAAGCTACGAGCTAACTAAAGAGCGCTAACATTAGCATGCTAACACAACAATGTGAAGCTACGAGCTAACTAAAGAGCGCTAACATTAGCATGCTAACACAACAATGTGAAGCTACGAGCTAACTAAAGAGTGCTAACATTAGCATGCTAACACAACAATGTGAAGCTACGAGCTAACTAAAGAGCGCTAACATTAGCATGCTAACACAACAATGCAGGACACAGGTGTTTTCTGTGCAGACGGGTGGATGTTGATGTTTGTTGTGTTATTCAGGAGCACGATGTGGAGACGGCCCACGGTGTGCTGCACGTCACCATGAGGGGGGTTGCTAAGGGCAACCGACCAACAATTCTCACTTACCATGACATCGGACTGAACCGTGAGTAAACACATTCAGAAATATTCACATACATCCTGCAGAACGTGATAGAGTTTAATGTGTGTGCGTGTGCGTGTGCGTGTGCGTGTGCGTGTGCGTGTGCGTGTGCGTAGATAAGTCTTGCTTTAACAGCCTGTTTAACTATGAGGACATGCAGGAAGTGACGCAGCATTTCTCCGTTCTGCATGTTGATGCTCCAGGACAGCAGGAGAATGCTCCTGTGTTCCCCGCCGGGTAACACACACACACACACACACACACACACACACACACACACACACACACAGTTGAAGTGAAAAGTCATCAGGATAGTTTATGGCTGATTTGAACGGGTTTATGATCTGGATATTATCCTAACTGTAGTCTGCTGCTGTAGGTTGACTGAATGTTGTGGTGCAGCCTGCTGCTCTAATGCTCTGATAATATAGCAACCTTTAGCGTTTCCTCAGGATGACCCTGACAAAGGCCACGAGCCGAAAAAAAGTAGCTCTCTTAGAGTGAATGAAGTCTTCATAATAAAAGTGTTGCTGGTTCTTTGTGACCTCT